GGTTTGGGGCATACTTCTGATGATGTTTAATTTAAAGGATGATTCATTTTTTTCAGTTTGTCCTATAAGTTGGGATGTCCAGGCAGCATGTAACTTCCAAATAATCTATGAGACATTGCTTACATTTGTAAGGTATTTGTGTGGATGGGTGTTTTATTTCCATTGGATGTATATCTTAAGAGTACAGTTGCTGGATCAATGTTTAACATTTTGAGGAACTGACAAACTTTTTCAAAAACAATTGCATCATTTTACATTTCCTTTAGCAATGTATCCAGTTGGTGTTTGTTCTTAGGGAACAGAGCCAACCAACCTGAGGGAGTAAGTAACTGTGTCACATTTGAACCTTCATTAAAATGTCTCTGGGAAAATAGCACACTTCCCACAAGCACAGCACTTTCTACAAGGCCTCTCCAGGTAAATTAGAAATTCTTTTGAGGAAAGTAGATTGCATTTGAGATTCATTTAGACTTTACATAGTACTTTTTGCTTTGCTTTTATTTTACCTCTTAATAATCATGCATATATTTGGTCACTACTTTACAGTTAAGGGTGTCATATTTGTATTAAGGTTTATCCCTTCAAATCCTACTATACAATTTCCAAGGTAGGTCTTCCAGCAGTGGTTGAACATTATCTTTGGCCAAAAAAGATCTATAAACTTGGACAAAATTGATTATTTCAGTGCACTGGAAATTGAAATAGGATATATAAGAATATTAGAAGCTTGGAAAATTGCTGCACAGTGGGAATCTGTAGAGATCTTTCTTTGGGCTGCTCCCATACTTCCTTCTATCACATGGAAATTTAGCCAGTACAGGATGTAACTGTAAATATCCCAGCAGTCAAAAATGACTCACTAATTTGAAAGAAAGGATAAAGCTTGCACCAGTGAAATTATCAATAGAAATGACAATCTCAGCAGACAATGAATAAAGTAGACTAATGGCCTCATAAAATTATGTGGTTGGCCCAGGCATCTTATTGAATGAGGGTAGGTATATGAACAGTTAAGGGCTTGAGCAGCTCTAAAATCCAACACTCCTCACTGATCCTGAGGCTGCCCATATGATCCTCAATAGAAAAAGATTATGTTGTTATTTAAAGATATCTTAATATTAGATATAATATGTAAAAATATTAGATTACATTAGATATAATATATAAAAATATTATTACTGATAAGCAAGTCTATTCATGTGCCTGATGGAGAGACCAAACAATGAATATTGAATTTTAATCATCAATCAATAAATAAAAGTTGTAAATCTTCACATCATATGCCTAGATTGTAAGCTATACTACAAAGCTATAATGAACAAAACAGTATGGTACTAGAACAAAAACAGACAGACAAGCTAAAGGAATAGAACTGAGAATCCAGAACTAAACTCACAGCTATATGGAGAATAAATCTATGACAAAGCAACCAAGAGAATATAATGTAAAAAGAAAAACCTCTTCAACAAATGGTGTTGGGGAAATTACGCAACCAGAATCAGAAGAATTAAATTAGACCACTATCTCAAACAATACACAAAAATGTATTCAAAATGGATAAAATACTTGGATGTAAGCCCTGAAAATATAAAACACATATAGGCAAAACACTCTATCGCATAGACCTCAGTAATGTCTTTGTGGATTTATATCCAACAGTAAGAAAAATAAGAGAACCTAAACATTTGGGACTATATCAAACTAAAAAATACTTCTTCACAGTGAAAACAAACTACCAAGATTTTCTCTCTAATAAATGAGAGAGAATATTTGCATACCATTTATCCAAAAAGGGTATCCAAGATCTACTAAAAAAACTCAACCACCTCAAAACAAAAGAATCCAAAAAACCCAATCAGTAAAAGCACTGAATAGCTAAATAGTAATTTCTCCAGAGAAGACATACTGATGGCCAACAATCACATGAAAAAATGTACACCATCACTTATCATGGAAATGCAAATCAAAAGCACAATGACAATTTGTTTATGGCAGTCCTGTGAGAATAGCCCATATCAGAAGATCAGAAACAACAAATATTGGTGAGAGGATGAGGAAAAGGGAATGCTCATACACTATTATCGGGAGTGTCAGGTGGTTCAGCCTATATGGAAAACAGTATGGAGATTTCTCAAAATATTAAAAATAGATGTACCATATGATTCAGCAATTCAACTCCTCGGTACTTTCCTGAAGAATGCAAAAACACTATGTCAAGGGACATATACACATCTATGTTCATAAGGTAACAGGAATAGCCATAAAAAGGGCCATTTCCATGTACCCTTTATCACCCAATGAAGTTGCCTGGGATTGGAGATATGGGGGGGGAATAAGGAATTTTCCTATAAATTAGGAAAGCATAGAGTTTTTAGGGCAGTGAAAATACTTTGCATGCTATCATAATTTTACAAATAATGAAAATGTACTTTGTGTAGTTATAATGTGCCAACATAATCTCTCATCAGTTGTAGCAAATGGACCATTCTGGTTGGGGATATTGGTAATGATGGAGGCTATGTGTGTGGGAAGGAGGGTTGGGCAGCAGAGAGGGGAAGGTGGCCTCTCTGTATCTTCCACTCAGTTTTGCTGTGAATATTAATCTGCTCTAAAAACAAAACAAAGTTTTAAGAATGGAAGCCAAAAAGTCAAGCTACAACCTGGAAGAAAATATCTGGAAGTAGTATAAACCGATAAACTAGATTTATAACAAAGTCTCTTAGAAGACAGTAAAAAGGAAAAAAGTCTTGTGTGAAAATGGACAAAAGTTATGAATAGACTTTTCATAAGGAAGATATACAAATGACAGAAGACATAAAGAGATACTCAACATTATCAGAGATAAAAGTATCAGAGATACTTTTCCATTATCAGGGAAAAGCAAACTAAAACAATTTAAAGTACCAGCTAGCTAGAATGTCATTCCTTTAACAGACGATGCTGGGTTTGGGTGAGGATGCATAGGTACTGGAAACCTTAAACAGTGTACATGGGAATGTGTGATTTGACTGCCATGTAGCACAGCTTGGTCCTTTAAACTTATATCACCCAGCAACTGCATCCCTAGAAATCTATGTAAGACCTGCCCACAACTAATCACAGCAATGTTTTTCATAAAAAACAAAAACTGAAAATAACGAAAATGTCAATCAACTGGTAAATGGGTTAGCAAAGTATGGTGTTAATAAACAAGAACAAAGTGATTGTATATGCAAAAATATGCTGGACGTCAAACACTCCATATGTTATGATTTCATGTATGTGAGAGATCCAGAAAAGGCAAATTCATAGACAGAAATTAGTGGTTGCCCCATGCTGGGATTGGAGAGTGGATTAGCTGCAAATGGGTACCAGTGGTCTTTTAGAGCAAAGGAAATGTTTTCAAACTGGGTTTGGTGCTTGTTGTATAATGCTGTTGTATATAAATTATATCCTCATAAAACCATTGAAAACAAATTGTTGACAGTTCAGATGTGTCTACTGAACCTAGTAGTAGTAGTAGTTGAAGTCCTTGATTCCTTTTTGCAAGTTTCAGAGATGTATTAAATAGATCAATAATATATTTCATAGTTTACTTCAGAATGTTCTCCACATTTATCATTTTTCTAGGTCCTGTCTGAATTTTGACACTGAAAGTCCTAAATAGAAACCACTGAATCTACTTAACTGTGTGCACAGTGAAGAGATCTGGAAGCTGAAACCCCATCCCCCGCACACTGTTGTGTTGTAAGCTTGGCAATTTGAGGTTTCACTCGCCAAGAGGACACCTTCAAGTAGACATCCATCAAAGAGTTTTCTTGTTCTAGATGACAAGCTTTGCTTTACACATTCATATCCTATGCGCATCTTGGAAAACCAGACTGCATTCTCTTGGTTCCTCTTAGAAACTCAGTTGTCATCAGCAGGAAGCAGTCGATTCACCCACCCTCATCTGAGGAGTGAAGAAAGTTCTCCCTTCTGCATAGGAAAAGGAAAACAGCAGGACTAAGGTAGGTCAGGTTTCAAATGTACTCAATTGTTAGAGGCCGTTTTTTATGTATAGCTACTACACAGATTCCCAAACAGAATCATTCCCTAAGGAGTGAAATTTAAATTCTTAGTTTCAGGGGTGGGTAGAGAGATTTGGCTGTGGACTATTGCAGGACAGATAACTCCCTCCTGGAGGTCAGGAAAGTGGGCTATGCTTTCTACTGCACTTGGTTGATGCATTTGTCAGCCCTTATCAACCACCACCTTATGTAAGGCATAGATCTGTCTTGACCATGTCTGTGACTGGCAGAAAACTACCAGTTCCAATGCTTTTCTTAGTGCCAGAATGGAGCTCAAGCATCCAGATTTGCTGATGTGAACTGAGGCTGCCATTCAAGGAAGACTCATTAATGCCACCTAAATCATATGTGGCCAAGTTATATGGTTACTTTCGGGCCCAATCCTACCCAATGGTCACTTCCCCAGGAGCTGAGCAAGGTAGTAACAGTTACTAATCAGCTCCTTTATGCTGTCAGTTTTTATTTAATCTTTAAAACAATCCTCATCACTTGGATCAATGAAACCCCTCTTGGAGCCACACAAAATGAAAACTAGAATGGGTGGGGAGAGGTTGTCCAAGGGATACAGTTGGGTGTTCAGATTTCAAAGCCCACTCATTTGTTCAGAAGCTTAAGTCATGTGGGCACCAGCTAGACCGGGAACACAAGGCCCGAAAGCCAATACCACTCACATGGTGTTAAACATAATGGGGATTTAACCTGTGTAATTACAAACTGTGGAATGTATCTTAGATATTCAGTACCCATTCTATAAAGCACTTTGCTTCTTGACAAACATGTTCCATCATTACCATGTTCCATCATTACCTTGTCCCTGACAATGTCACTGTAGGTGCCAGTGGTGGTTTATACCCAATTTAAAAGAGTTCCATATACCCATCATTATTCTGTAAACACTAATTGAATGGATGTTTCTTCTCCAGTGAAAAATAGCACAACAAAGTCAAAGTGTCATTTGTTTCAGTTTTATTTTCCTATCTCAGTTTCAGTAAAAGTTTGACACTGAAAGTCCTAAATAGAAATCAGGACACAGGCTATAAACTGTCTCCTGCCCATACAGAACATATAGTTTTACTTTTTCTTTTTCACTGAACAAGGTGATACTATATTTGCTCAAATCAAAGTACAAAGAGATACTATAAATGGGGGAGGGGAGGGAAATGTTTATCTGTGGTCTTGTTATTCTCATACAGTAGATGTATATGGACCACAAAAAGAGGGAAAGCACTGAGGAAACATTTGCATCCCACTAGTTAAAAAGCCAAGCAGTAAGTACCATTAGAATGCCCTTAAAAATAGCAAATTTGGAATAATTAGCTATTACCATGAGGGGAGTACTCTTTCATTTTTCTGCCACCACAATGCTACGCATGTATGTAGGTACTCGTCATGGTGCAAATATAAAAATGATCAAAGGCAGGCCTTTATGGCAATCTTTTGCTAAAATATATTCTGTTTTCATATACATGCTATAAAAGTACTCTGAAAAGGTCAATCTTTCGAGTTGTTAAAACTAAGAATTTACTTTTTTACATATAGAATAATGTACCCCTAACTCTAAAAGTATGTGTGTTTGAGAATCATTACTGTAACCAGGTATTTCTAGCTTCATATTTTGTTGACGATGATTGTACAGTGCATGTACTTAGTAATGCTCTCTTATAATTCTGTAGTGTAATGCTTCATCAACTACTTTAAAGAAAAAGTGCAGAGGGAGCTCTGTATCTCCAAGGAGATTTGGAATAATTAGCTATTACCATAAGGGGAGTACTCCAAGGAGGTCTGGTCCAAATCACTACATTTTCAACAGTAAGTTTCTACAACAAATTTTTCATTTTAATTTTCAACATTGGGAAGCTTAATCCTTTTCTGACCAACATTTGGACCAACTGAGGCAAATAATAATGAAATTAACAGGTCGGCTGCTTTTAAAAGTGACCATTCCCTCCTGTAAGATATTTCCAACATTATTTCTAGACTTTTATGGAGAATTGTGAACTAACGCTAACAATAACACAGTGAGTGGCAATGAATTGGCTGAATGTTTGCCAGTCCTCTTGGTGCTGGCTATGTTGAACTCTATCTCCCAGACCATGTGGCACGTTTTGAGGCTTCTAGTTCTAGATTACATTCATGGGACCCGGGCATACCTACAATCTTTTATTTTAGGTATAGTAGAACAACAGAAATATAAAATAATTAAAACTTGTTTCTGATTTAAACAAAAATATTTACTCTTTTCATTAGCAAAACATTCTTTAAAATATATCTATTTCTCCTCTCTGAACATTTAGCCAAGAACACTGGGTAACTTTCAAAGGTTTCATGCCGAATTTCAATACAGTAAATATAATTATACAAAGCACACAGCAACAGTAGCTTATTTACATTCATTGATAAGAAATTTATTTTCTCATCTGGTTACAGTGTCCAGTCCACCAAAGAAAAGGTTTGGCATTTGTGTGCTTTTGTTCTTGGTGAGAATCACTTCTGCTTGATTTTCATTCTTGGAAGAAAAAAATCATCAGCTGATATCCTCTCATTTATGACATGATGTGAAGAAGGCATGGGACAAAGGTTAGCTGTGACCATGGAGTCAGCCAGGGATTGCGCTTCCAGGCAGATCTTCCTTCTCCTCAGGCAAGTGCCCAGTGGGCTGTTGGGGGATCCAGGAGGGGACACCCAGGGCCAGGCATCAGCATCTTGGCCAAACACCCCTCTTACGGCCACCACCCCTTCTCACTACCGTCTGTGTTTATCTTACTGTCCCTGGTCCCGGAGCACATTCACAGGGACCATGCTCGGCGTCTGCACGGAACCACTCCACAGGGAAACGGGAGGCCAGGGAATGCAACCAAGGGCGCGGTGCACACCCGTCACCGCCTCCTGAGCCACGGTCACCTGCTGAGACGATCTGCGGGAGGTGGGGGAGGCAGGCGTGCACTGTGTTCTCCATGGCAGAATTCTCCTTTGTTTTTCTTGAAAGGTTTTTTTCGAGGTCATGTTTTTCCAAGCAGTTTTATCAGAAGGAGAGTTTGGTATCTGCTTTCTCTAGCCAGCCAATAGTGGTAGAAATGTCAGCCTCTCTCTCCTGAATTTTGAACCTATCTAAAAATGGAATATTTTCTCCTGACAAATGATTTACTTCTTTGAAAAGTGGAACGTTCTTTTTGTTTTTGGATCCAACTCAGCCTTTCTGCAAATACTTCAGGCTAAAAGAGGAGGAAGTGCACAAGAACTAACTTCCTATTGTGCCTTACATAAAACATTTTGCTAAAATTACAATAGCAGCTCCATGTGCAAAAGTAAATATTTGTGCGAAGGGCACACTGCCAGGTGCAACCTTAAGACATCCTCAATTTACTCATTTTATAGTGTTTAACTTTGTAAAACACAAGTCTTTTAAATTATGAAACCTAGCAAGTAAAGGGAAGGAAGTTAACAACAGAAAATACACTGTGGAAAAAAGTATTGGAGATTTTGCTGACAATTTGCTACTTATTTCATAACTTAGATCAAGTAAGTGTTTGTTAAATATTCACAGTAATTTCAGAGAAGAAACATTCATGTCTGTAAAACTTCAATCTATTGCATTTTCAACCATTTTTTCTGTACAATTACAAATTTCCATCTGTCAGTGCTTTTCTGTAGAATTCCTTATTGTCAGTCCTTCCCATCTCTTGGTCCAGTTATACCTTCAAGGTGGGCTGTAGGATTCCTTTCTCAATGAGATGAGTCTTCAGGGTTTTGTAGATATTTAGCTGCTGTTCTGGCTGAAGCACCAACAACTGCTGTAGCACTTTGCTGGGGTTCGGACCTCTGATAACAAAGCAGAAAAGAAAAGTTCATACCACAGAAACTCGCAAGTTAAAATGAATCATGCATTTCAGTGGGTGGTGAGTTCTACAGGATTCAGTCTTGATCAGTTCATGTTAAGGCCCAGGGTTAGTGTTAAAGAGATAAAACCCCCAGCACGATTCTGTGTCGAGAGATACACAATCCAGCTGTGGAGGGAAGACACGAACAACAGGAAACATTTTAGCGGGTGCAGGTCTAAGTTCTCAAAGATTCTCAAGTAGGGAGTAGTAACAATTCCTGAGATTGGAAAAGAGATGAAAACTATCCTGTAAAGAGAACAGATCTTAAATTTTGACCTTTCAGATACTGGAAGATCCCTGTTGAAGCAATACCCTGGAGAACGACAACTGTTCAAGAGAAAGGACATAAAAGTCACCAACCAAGCACTGAAAGGCAGAGCTGGAATTTACAAAAGGTGCCTCAGCCTTGGCTCAAAGAAAGTTTTAGGCAACCCTAAAGTAGCAGACAGAGTGGATGTGCTCTGGTTTCAAGAGGGGAGTCCGGGAGAACTGAAGGGCAGTGATGCCAGGTACTTGCGCGCCATTGTCCCCTCCAAAGCACATCTCCGCAGCAGCCGGGGTGGGGCTTCTCCTCAAGCCCCTCCCACATCCTGCTCCCGCCCTTGTCCTTCAGTAGCGCCCCCCAGTCAGAAAAGTTCCCAAACTTGTGGGTTTCTGCATTGGGGTGAGAGTATGGGGTGCAAGGGGGCAGAGGGCTCTTGGAGAGGCTGTCTTTGCCGCCCCTATCCATCTTGATGTGTTCTTTTTATCTCTGGGTTACTAAGGAGGTGGTCAGCTTATTTTCAAATCTTTTCATGGGGAAGTATTCCATATGTAGCTATATATTTGGAGTATCACAATAGGAGATAAACCCAAGCTTTTCAGCTATGTCATCTTGAACTCTCCTGACTCTTTCCTTTACAAAACTGAAGGGCTCAACTCTTCTGCCAAAAATCTATGGCCATGTGGTCTCTCAGGGTGGACATATATTCAAGACAGGACATAGCTTATTTTAGCTTGATTTCAAAGGATTCAGCAACCTCGCAAATTCAGAGTAGGAGCCCACAAGATAAAAAGAACCTCTTCTAGCAAGTTCAGCTAAATGCAAAATTATGTCAGTAAGGGCTGCTGGCAAACAATGGACTCCTGGCACTATCATGGTATTTTTAATAGTATAAATATTTGCTTTCAAATGGTGGACAACAAGGCTCACAGTATGACTTCCCTCCAGAGAAGAGAACAGTAGATTCAAAATAAAATATGTGCTTATGCCCTTAAAATGGCTATTTTCTGAAATCAGTGATTTCACCACTAGTTCCTAATGCCCAAGTATGTCAGTAAACAAATCATACTGCAAATGAATTAAATATTCCAATTTTAGAAAGCAAAGATTTAGTAATAAAAACAAAGCTATATACTTGTAAGAGGGACAAAAAGAAACTTTAAATATCATGATGAAGGAATGGTAGACAAAGAAATACCATGCAAATACTAACCAAAAGAAAACTGATACAGCCTTTCTAAAATTCAAGAAAATAAATTTTAAGCAAGTAGTTAATAAAGATGGATATTAGGCAATGACAGACAGGTCAGTTTAACAGATATGACAAACTCAACTTCAAAATACATTCAGAATTAAAAATAGGAACAGGAATAGGTATACTTACTATCACAATGGGACATTTAGACAAAAGTTCTCTTTATAACTGATAGAACAGGTAGAGAGAAAAGAACCAACCAAAAATTCAGTACAGAGAACTTAGCTAAATGTCATGTAACTGATATATGCTAAAATATCCATAAGCTTCAGAACATACATTCATTCCAGGTGCATGTGGAACATGTATCTGAATAGATGATATATTGGGACATAAGACAAGTCTCAACAAATATTAAATACTGAAACAAGAAAGTAAGAAGAAGGAAAAAATCTGTTTGGAAACCTATCAATAGGCTTCTAAATAATCCATGTGTCAAAGAAGAAATAGGGAAATCAACTTATTTGTGACTGAATAATAAAAATACAAATATGACATAAAATGAAAAGAAAGTACTTTAGAGGAAAATTTACAGAGTAGGATGGTTTTAATAGACAAGCTGAAAATCAATAATCTTTAAGAAGCTTAAACAGCAAACTAAAGAAATGAAAGATGAGTGGAGATCAATGAAATTGATGAAATACACAACAGAGGAGGTTAACAAAGCCTGGATTTGATTCTTGTAAATAATAATGACATAGATAAACTCCAACAGGAATGCCCAAGAAAAAATGAGTTAATAAAAAAGTGCTTACACTGCTAGAGGCATATATTTGAAATGCATATTTAGGGATGTATACATATGCATTTTACTCTAAACTCTATAAAGAACATACAAATTTTCTATGACTCTGGCATTAGCAGAGACCATGGAAAATAAAGTTAGCGTGTTAATTGATAAGGTAGCTCTTCACAACACAAACTGGCATCTTAAAGCAGATCCAAAACATTATGATTGAGTAGCAGGAATAAAACACCTGATATAAATAGTAACGCCCCTCCATTTACCACGTGCTATCTCATCAATCCCTACCACACCTACAGCCCCCTGGCCTGCTTAATATTTCTGTATGGCATTTGTTACCACCTAAGAATTGTATTTGTCTGCTGCTGCTCCCTCTGAAAAATGGAAGGTCTATGTCTAGAACACTCCAACACTTAGCAAGCACTCAAGCAGTAGTAAGTAGACTGGATGAACTATTGGGTCCCCAGCCCCCACTTTAACCCTTAGTATTTACTGCAATATCCACAGTTGAGAAATCACATCTCCTGATGTGCCAAATCAAGTGCAGCTGGCCATGACTGGATTTTGACCACAGCACTGTTAAGGACCATGCACTATTGTTTCTTAAATTACTCACATAGGTATAAAACAATTATAACAACCACCAACATTCAGGATTCCATGTGACAATTTCAGGGATCTCCTTTGATACATTTTTTTCCAATGGTAATCTATAGTAACTCATTCGAGCTAATGCCTATTGGAATGAATATTAAAATTATCTGATAAGTCATTAAAAAAAAGCAAAAGTACCTTATAAAACTTGTGATGTACACATGAACGAATGTTGCCATCAAATATTGACAATCAAATCTGTCCATTATTCCACCATGTCCAGGAATAGTGTTTGCAAAATCCTTCAGAAACAAACAGACATATTAAACTTTCAAGAAAGAAAAAAAGACAAAAACCTCCTACCTGTAAATGTCTCTGATCTCATGAACTCTTAAGGAAAATACATTACTACTGGATCTTCCCACTAAACACAAACATATTAGAACATGACCAGAAATTTAGCCATTTCTTTTGAACATATCCCATGTTAGAGTGACTGAACTGACCCTCAACATTCAAAAACAGTAGTTAAAATTAACTGAATCCAGCACCAAACTCTCTCAGTTAATAAAAACCGCTCCAAGTTCACCAGCTCTTACTAATCTGATCTTGCGACAGCCTATCTTCTATTTAATCAGAAACCAGTTGGTGGGCTATTTTATTATCATTGACAGATACACAACTGGCTCTAGCTCTTCCTACTCCAAAGTCCTTATACTGAAATAAACATTTTACTACCATGATAAATTTCTTTTAAATATTTGTGTAAAAAGAAGAGCACAACAGATTGTTCCCTTTGGGACATGTTAGTCCCTGAAATGGCCAAACTGACGGAATGGTTAGTAAGCCTGTGCAAATGGACTCCACATGTCTGAGTGTCTAGAAAATAGAAACAAGTAATTTTGCCTTTCCAGTTTACCCAGGCGACCTTAGAACATCTAAAATGCATTAATAATTATGTTTTCATTTCAAAACAAAATGCCAAAAAAGATCAACAAGAGATTTTAAAGAAACAAGAGATTTAAGAAACACCATCATAAAGTAGGTCATTTCTCTGTTTATAACGAATACTGAGCAAGTCTTTAGTATTTGCCAACACACATCCTTCCTGCTCTTCCCACTAGCCAAGCCCAGGTGCCATGGTAACTTAATACCACTCTTCTGCGTGCAACTATATGACACTCATCACACATGGCTATTGCCATGATTCCCAGTGACCATGGATATCACCCCTTGTAGGTGGTGAGTGTCTGGAAAACAAACAAACCCTACACCTTGCTGTACAGTCATCCCACCACCAGCGTTCCCTTCCCATTACAAGAGCTCATGGAGTTAATGAACCTTTCCCTGGCATGTGGCCCAGTGCACTCCCATCTCCTATTTGACATCAGCCACACTGTTTGGGTCCTCTTTATAAGGGTCTGGCTCCCCACTTCTCTGCACTCACTGGAACTTCCTTCTTTAGGTTTCTCTACAGGACTCATTTTCCTCCTTTTCTCAGAGCCCTGTTCCCAGTGTCACCTCCTCAGAAAAGCTTGACTTTGCCCCCCTTTAACAACCACGCTGTAAGAGCCCGTGTCACATTTAGTTACGTCACATGAGGGGCGCTGAGAAAACATGGCAGACCAGCTCGTATTATGAAGATCTAACTTAATTGAAGCACAGGGAGAATTTTAAGTATCTGAGACAGGTAACTATAAACTAGGTTCCAGAGATCAGATCCAACCACTGCCTCTTTTTGAAAATAGGTTTATTAAAGCCCAGCTATCCCTGGTCACTGACCAAGTCCCCGGAAGGACGTCCATACCACAAAGGCAGAATTCACAGAGTTTGCTGACTCTTATCTACCAGAATGAACAGTTTAACATCCAAAGTTCTCTTACATGTCCCTTTAGGTGAGACTGTAGCAAGGCTTCTAAACTCTTGATAATTCATGGCTAGGTTATTAAACACTCGACAGACCAAGATACTATGTATGTCCCAGCACTAAGTGGCATATGTCATTTCTATATGGCACTTTAAAATTCAACAACATTGTATGATCAAACCTTACAGTAAGGAAGAATACACTGAAAGTGAGCCAGGAGTTAGTTCTATAAGGCTGAAACAAGTGAGTATAAAAGGTTTTGCCTAGGGACTAAATGTATGAGATCAACAGAGCAAACTTTGAACTGCATGATAATCTTGAATGATATCTTCTAATAACAAGGCAAAGTGTCAGAATACACACCTTGATTTTGAAAGCTCTTTTGAATCCACTGGCAAAAAAACCTCCGAAAGGGCCAATCAAAGATGCAAAAGTTGAAAGAGCAATGCTGTGTATCTGGAAAGGATACAAACTCACTGTTTCCTAAAGAAGGGAGAAAGGTAGGAAAGGGTTAGAGTTCACTGCATGAAAACCATCCCCAGCAATCATAGCATTCTTACTTTATGATAAGTAGTAAGTCCGAGCACATACCAGATTTTTGTTAATTTCATAAACTTTCCCTAATTTCATGAGAAAAATATATCATAAACTCTCATTACTAATTCTCTTCTTAGCCAATACTCCTGAGTCCCTCCTGTAAACACACCGACAGCTTCTAGCATGCTAAAATCTTGAAGAAAACAGCCTAACAGTTGAGTTGTAGGCTAACCAAAACTCAATTGAGCTAATACCTGATTTTGCTTTTTACCAGTAGTACTTTGCTTTAGTAATTATATAGTGTATTTTTATTTTTATTATTTTACTTTAATTTTATATGAGTAAAAGAGAGAAAAGTAGGCCTTTCTCTAAAAGAGAGAAAAGTAGGCCTTTCTCTTAAAACTAAATGTTCAGGATCACCTGAACACCTAAGTTGTTTAAAAAATAAAAAACACCAAAATGAGTGCAAGACAGTTATAAGTGATTTGGAAAGGGAGAACATAATTCTTAATTTTCTATTAAAACAGAAGCTACAATAGTCTATTGTGGGTACGGCGTTAGAAAGCTTGCTGAGAAAGTCTTTGGACCTGCTCTCAAAGCAGTGACCTTATCTTTAATCAAAGGATGGCTACCTCAAAAAGTTCTTACAGCAGGTAATAGATGGCTTTGACATTGAAAAAATTCTGACAATTCATGAATTTGACTCGAGGAGAAAAAATTCACTAGTTAGCCTGTTTCTGGCACACACATGCAATTTTTGACCAGTCTTGATGTACAGATCAACAGAACTCAATTAGACAGATGTTAAGTGAATATCTATCGGGGCAAAACTCACATTGCCTTTACAATGCCAGTGCTTTTGTGTGGGAAATTGATTTTCAGAAGCAGAAGTTTTCTTTAGTAGTAAAGATTCCCTAAAAATCAAGTAATCTTTGGACTGGTGAATTTTTAATTAGTTTTAAATTCAGTAAATGTCAGTTATATGTGTAACTCGCTTTAACCCATTCCATTTCTAGAAACTAAAGGAATATTGAAAAATATTTTCAAAACAAACACAAGATAAATCATCAACAGTATGCATATCATTAGGACACAAGATAAATCATCAACAGTATGCATACCACTAGGAAGTAAATCCCTAATAAACAACTAGATTGCAACAGGTTTAATTATTTTATGTTCAAGAAGAGGAGTCGCTAGAGGATTAAATATATTATTGATGTTAAGATGACAATGACACCACCTCAATATTGTAAAGTTGAAAATTCAGCAGAAATAAATGTCTTAAAAAACCTTAACTCTACTTTTAAATGAAATCTAAAGGAGCTCAATCATGTTTATCTTACCCATCTCAACACTGCCTTTAGAAAGGGAGGGAGTGAATAGTTCTGAAGCTGGAATAGTTCTGAGGGTTCACATTCTGTAACGAAGGAGTTGACATCGCTTCGGTATTCCACTGGGCAGACAAAGTACTGGTATTTGGAGAGCAGATACGCAGCCTGAATAACAAGCAGTAGTTCATGAAATGTTGGATGGAAATGCACACACACACATATTATGCTATATGTCAGAAGAGACCAGAGATAGAATACCAACATTTCTTTATGTTATATATTTTTGAAGTTCGGCTGTCATGCCAACCAGCTAAAAACTTGGAAAAGTGACTAGAAAAACAAAAGGCTTTTTAAATCAATGAGATTGCAATCCCTTGCATGAACACAATCTAAAAAGGGGAAAGAGACAAAAAGCTGATTTGAACAATTAGAGAAGCATTTTATCAAGGTCTTACTTTTTAAAAATACAATTATTAGAAGAAGCTACCAATTATAAATGTACAGGAGAGTATAGGGCTAAAGTTCTTTGGATAAAGATTACATTAATTTCATCATTGAATAAATAATCAATGATTAAAAATTATGAAACAGTACTGGTAAAAAACACCAATTGTTCTTATCAACCCAGGAAACTTTGACTAAATTATCTTGCCTTGTCACAATATTGCAATTTTTTTTAACGAGTTGTCCACAGTCATGGATTCATAAAACAAATACACATTTAAATTGTAAGAGAACAGTTTATTCTTTTCTAACACAGCCATCCATCCATCATATACTAAAAAACTGTCAACAGAAGCACAAGTCTGACACCAGGATTGGGCAGATACTGATTCTGCTGCCAGTTTCCTCTAAATCAGTTGTTAGGAAAGGCATATAAGTTCCCTCACTAGTATTTCATTATGCATTTCACTCTTACAAGATAGTTCTTTATTTTTCTTCCAAGGATATGGCTATATTTCCAAATTAGTCTTTAATAATTCCAGTCTTGCAGTATTATTAACTTACTAATAATGTTTTATACAAACACTGAACAAGACCAGATCTCTTTTCACTATTTTAATTGTAATCTCATCAATATTCTACCACCTGTCCAAGTATCTCTGATCACAAGGCAGCTGTTAGAAACAAGGAAAACATAAATGCCTGGCAGTGGGCCTCAAGCCTTGCTGCACATGACAGTCACCTGGAGGCGTTTCTGAACCCTGGAACTGGCTGGGCGAGGCTGGTTTCTACTCACCCATCAGTGATTGAGGTATGAGGCCAACAAGAAATCTCTTAGGGTACAGAAGAGGTTCTATTTAGTGAGTTTCACTAAATTAATTAGCATTTTGTGTTTTGACTCTTTCAGCTTTATAACAGACTAATAAACTTACTACCATTTTTCAAAATGTAAGTAATATAAATTCCTAGTAAAACTCACAATGAATCCAAACACGACTGTGGAAAAGAAACCACCGATGAATCCTTCCCACGTCTTTTTAGGAGACAACTAAAAAAAAAGGCCAAATAAAAAATTTTAAGTTACTGCATTAACAATATACACATATATACCAATTTTGTTCAAATTCACACAATACCTTGTGGTTCTCTGCTTACTTTTTCTCACAAGAATGGTTTTGCATCCCTTTTCCTTCATTCCATGATCCTGATTTACCTGGGCTTTTATTTCTAGTACTATCTAACTCATATTATTTGCTCCTCCAACATTTGGGTTGTTGTAAATCTGTTTCAATATACAGCCTCAATTTATTTGTTGTTTTGTTTTTCTTTCAAAACTCTATACTGTGACATTTATGTTTATATAAATTACCTTAACATGTAGTTCTTGAAATAAGGAGATATATTCATTTGAAGTACACATGGACTGTGCTGACCTATTACTAACCAAAAACAGACTGAGTATAACAAAACATGTACACTACAGCATACTCTCCAAAAATCATGCATACTGCAGATTTCTTCTGAAATCATAAAATACTTTCACAGCCCCAGCCACCAATTTTGCTCTACTTACATACCCAGAATTCTCTGCTGGGTCACAGTCTACGCCTAACATCATAAGAAAGGCACACGCTGTTCTCTAAGACTAGATACTGTTTGTCAGAGTCAGGTTACTGTTTTCAGACAATGGAGCATTCAGGAAGAAAATCCTAAAGGAAAGTCTGGAATTTAGTAAAACAGGCAGAAGGAAAAGAAACCACATATGGAAGACAATTAGAGTATCAGAGTCTGGGTGGATGAACTAGATTGAGTCTCTGTTGACCTCTTGTCTTGATGATGTTCACAGAGCCCCAAACATAAAGTGTTGGCAGAAATGGTTTCCTAATAAATTCGATCATAATTCTGCCTTTAAGAAGGCGCAGTGGGTTAAAGCACAAGACTCAGAAGCTAAAGCCACTTCAGTATGAGTTCGATCCTCACCCTGGAGGTGATCCACATGGCAAGGCAGACCTCTCCTGACCTGCCCGCTGCTCCTCTCAGCAGTGTATTTCCTCAGTAAGCCTGTTCTGCTCCCCACTCTGTCTCTGGTGAATCCTCTCACCACCCTTGCACATCTAGCTTGTACCCCAGTTCTACATGCAGAAATAAATACATCTTAAAAAAAAAACAAACTAGCTTTTCAAATTAAATGAGCTGTATCCAATTAGTACAGGAATTCATTTGCTTATTTACATCTGGGTAATATACAACTAACCCATGTTCAAAATCAGACAATGAGAGTCTTCTACAGTTGTAATGGCTTCTCTGAAGACTTTTTAAACAAAAACTTCTCAGCACAGAATAGTTGTATTATTTGCTTTTGTAATGAAGCCAGCTTTAGAAACTTTAAAAAATATACAGCTTGCCTTCCAGGTCAGCCTGATACTGTGTAAACTTGACTTCTAAGTGGGGAAGATTTAGGGAAGGATTTTGAAGGACAGGATATTCAGGCCTATGATCCAAACAACAGAAGGCTTTATATCTGAACTCTGAAGAGCTTGTCTCTTCAAAACTGCCTTCACAAAAATAACATCACAATAGCCCATTAATATATTTATGGGATTATCAAAGACTGCCCAATATCTGAAATTGAGTCTTTATCTAAAGCCCTAATATTAAACTTTTTTTAAAAAGAAATTGATTCAAGAAAAAGGTCCATTTTGTTTTCTTTGCCTTTTAAAATGAATTTTTACTTCTTTTAAAAATATTTATTACATCATCCACGACAAGTGGCTTGTTTCTTTCTGCCCCAAATAAGAACGGTTTAACTTAATTCATTTCCATTTTTGTCTCCACTGACTGAAAACCAAATCTAGGGCAATCTGCTCATGTGTATTTTCCTTTCTCTTACCTTAACATTTCATTATTACTTGCACTGTGAATGTTTTATTCTATGGATGTCAAAAATAATTTTTTTTAAAGATTTATTTATTCATACAGAACTGGGGTACAGGCCAGAGATGTGGAGGGTGAGAGGATTCACCAGAGACAGAGTGGGGTACAGAACAGGCAGATTGACCAAGTACACCGCTGAGGGGAGCAGCGGGCGGGTCAGGAGAGGTCTGCCTCGCCATGTGGATCTCCTCTGGGGCAGGTGGGGATCAAACTTATGCGGCTGTGGCTTAAGCTTCCCAGTGCAGTGCTTTAACCCGCTGCGCCACCAGGGAGGGCCTGGATGTCAAAAAATTTTTAATGAGCTTGGATGTACAAGTCTTATAAATGGACATGAGTGTTTGGAGATGTCTCAATATATACTTTCAAAAGGTTTGGCACATAAGTAAATCAACAAAGAGGTGGCTTGAAGGGAGAGCAGAACCAAGGAAAAGTTTGTTTATAGCATTGCTCAATGGAATAAAAAATGACACAATAGCTAAGGAAAAGAAAGATGAAAAGCCTTCATGGGAGAGGGGGTAACTGATGGAGTCAAGCCCTCATTAAGCTGTTAAAAGAATATCTAATGAAGAACCCAGATAGAATTTTGGGACATAAGCCTTACTATCCTGACACTGTGGTTGCTATGTACAGCTAGGGAAAACCAAAGTACCTTGGAAACAAAAAAAGATGCAAAGGTACAAAACTGTTGGATATTTGCTCCAGTGGCTAATCTTTAATACTATGATTTTTAGCTTACCTGTGACATTCTGCTATTACCTTAATTAATGGAGTTCTTCCAAAAAAAAATCCAAAAAGATAAGCGGTAATGTCATTGCAGATAACACTTGATATTGGGACAAGGAACCTTTAAAAAAAAAAAAGGTCAGCAGAATAAAGTCCATATGATTAAGTGGCAAATATTCATAAAGATGATGACTATCAATGCAATCACCATTTGTATTAGTCACAGTTGATAAGTAACAATAAATGACATTTGATAAGACATTCATAGAGACAACAAAATCAACCACATTTGTCCAATGAACAAGTGAATAGTGCAAAATCTATAAGTAAACTAAAATACTAGGAGAATACTGCTAAGAAAATATATAATAAATTTAATTTGAATGTTAAATAATTTCTAGTTTCATTAGGAATAAATACTTTTAACTTTTAAATTACTTAAATTCTCTTAAGTAAAGCACATTTTAAAAGCAGCTTTTCAAAATGGAATGCTTATTGTTTAGACAGTATATGATAAATTTATAGCAAGCACTTAATACAAATTCCCTCAGGAAAAATTTTCAGTTTTTTTTATCTTAACCTATAGTTGCATTAAAACACTAGTAATTATAAAATCCTACATATTTCAATAGGTCTCCCTTATCAATTAAAAGCTTGTATGGAAGATAGTCTTAAAATGACTGCAATTGTACACAAACACATACAAAGCTGGCAAGAGGATATATCTGTCTTGACAAAATCCAGTAACTTTAAAAGATTTTTAATGAATGTATTTTAAAAGGAATAGGAAAAACATAAGATCAGATTTTGTAAATCTCAATTTTTTTCTCCATTTTTTTTTTAAAGATTTATTTTATTTGTACATACAGAACTGGAGTACAGGCCAGAGGCTCAGGGGCGGTGAGAGGCTTCACCAGACAGAGTGGGGAGCAGAACTGGCAGATCAATGAAGTACACTGCTGAGGGGAGCAGTGGGCGGGTCAGAGAGGTCTGCCACGCCATGTGGTCACCTCCGGGGCAGGTGGGGATCGAACTCTGCAGAAGTGGCTTTAGCTTCTCAGTGCTGTTCTTTAACCCGCTGCGCCACCACAGAGGGACCCTCCAGTCTACTTTTTAACTAACAGCAATTTTTTTTTTAATTTTAGTCTAAACTTTTAACTAATACAAATGTTTTCTTAACCTACAAGTTACTACTACACAACTAACACTGTCCATCAGAAATCTGGTAACTACCCCTAGATAAAGGCAAGGTAGAACAGAACCAACGCACCCTTCCGTTAGAGAAATACACTGTCAGTACCTGTCTGCCGGCAAGCAAATCTCATGTTTTTGCATTCCATGCCAATAATACTTGCCTATACTTTGTAATCACATTTAGGTGTAATAACAATTAATTGTGGCTTTTGTAACTTTTTGCATTTTGTTTGGAACCTTAACAAGAAAGTTTCTAGCTATTAATAAGGTCTTTGTATGTAGTTATCAAACAGTAAACAACTCTCAGTATTTTAATGGAATGAGAAAAACAAGTAGTACATTTTAGAAGCTATAAGACATGGTCCAACGTAAAAGAGCTTTACAAGTGCTATATACATGAGAATATAATAAAAAGCAGCACAGTACTGTCCCCTTACCATATCATGCCTTCAAACAGATTTTGGATGACAAGATGTGACTGAGTAACTGTTATCAGTAAAGTGACATGGGTCCATGCGAACTGTTAATAGCCCAACAACACAATTAGTGAACACGACTGATCGGTGCAGCCAAGAAGGAACAGCAATGTTGAAATAAATTTCTAGCATGACTTTTGGTCAAAACTTGAAAGGCAAGTAAGTTAAATGTCACCAGTAAAATCATATTCACTTGGGGTCTCATTAGCACCTTAAAACCAGGAAAAAAAATTAATGAATTGATCATAATTTACCCACAAATGGTATACTAATGACAATGAATTATACCACTAAATTTAAAAAACGCATAATAAAAACGTGAGTCACTAGATTAAAATTATAACGAGAAATTTGGGGCATTATTGTAGCATTTACTGCCTTCTGCAGTTATTAAAAATGGTAAAAAAAAAAAGGTTCATTTCAAAAACTTCAAAGATCAAAATCAGCAGGGATCAACTGCCCTGAAACTCAAACTTGAAAGTTGATCTTCATAGCTCTGTTCAATAATAGTATTCAATTTCTCATTTTCAAAGGCCTGTTTCATCAATTTGACCTAGCTGAGAGAAAACCACTTTAGTGATTTTTAACATCATCAGTATGAATAGAATATGAACAAGAGAAGCCAGCATTTCTATATATTTGGTTTCATAAATTGTATTTTATAAAATGACTTCAAAATAAATCAAATGATTTTGATTTATTCATAATAAACTTATTTCCCATCTTGGCAAGCAATTTATTACATTGGTAGTTTAATTTAATCTGCTTAAAAGATCTAATATTCTGTTACCTCACTGCTTCAAAATGCATAAATGGCTTTTTTCCAAACAGGCACTATCTATATTTTCATAGAAGATTCTATTATTTCAAATTTGTCTGGATGGTTCTAGATTTTCACTGAGAATTTTACACTTTCCTGAAATCTCCAGAAATTAGAAACATTAAGGAATACTATCATGTCCCAGCAATGACTACAGCAGGCATCTTAATGAGCTAAAGCAAAGTAGAGAGAATAGGAAGTATATCCTAATCTAAAACAAGATGTAAATACTTAATTGCATTTTACAATCTCCTAGTTAATAACACTTCCAGGAAAGTAAATTCATTGTGTACAGTGATACATTTCATAAGACAGTAAACACTGTTCAAGGATATACAGAATAAAATATTATAGATCAAAAAGAATTATCATGTCTATAGCTAATCATAGCTACATCAAAAAAATCAGTACTCTGCTTACTTTTTTCTCAGGTTAAGCTCAAGTAAACAGTAACTTTCCATAGAAGTACATGGTAGATGTTTCTCAGACTTACTACCCAGTAGACCATGGAAATTCTACATATTTCTTCAATTCACTGAAAATGCTGAAAGAGTAAGTTCATAGGAAACTGAAAACATTTAAAATTTTGAATTATGAGAAAACTTTTGTAGCTATCCAAGTTTGAAATATCCCTCACATTCAGGTAAGACAGTGAATAGCAGATTATATCTTCTCACTATAGAAAAAGACTAAAGAACTATAATTATAGATAGTGACTACAAAATGCCACTTAATACACACCATATAAAACTGCAGACGATAATGTTTCTTCACCAAGCTCAGCACAAACATGCAGAAACCTGTTCAAGAACAAAAACATGTGCTTGTTATGCAATTTAGTACAAAGTGTGAGATTCACTGAGTACAAATAAAATCAATTTTCTATACCACATCTATACCATTTGTCAACTTACTAAAATATTAAGCATTTAAAGCAAAAGTTTCTTGAAGGAAATAACACTGTTTTTGCCAAAATGCCTCAATATATTCCATGGCATAATTTCAGTAAGTTTCCCCTGCATCAATTAAAAGAATTAGTTTCTTGCAAATATTGATATGTGAACTTAGAAAACCGTCTTGAATTTCAGCTGAATAAGATTTGCTATACTGATCAATCAAGTATATGTAAAGAATGTTTTAATCTCCACAAAATACAAAAGTTAATAATTACTATGGCAGCAAATATGTATTGAATTCTTACTATGTCCCAGGTAGTGGTCTACATATTTTTACAAGTATTAACTAATTTATGGGCTCCAACATCCTTATGATATCTACTATCTCCATTGTACAGATGAAGAAAATGTACATGAGATTTATTTTAATGGGAATTAAAGAGCTAGGCAGTAGTTAAGCCTCCCATCTTACTAACCCTCCAGTATCATGTAGTTCTATAAACCATCATCAGCAAGATATAATTTCAGAGTGACTTGAAAGTATTATAATGTGTTGGTATGTTTACAAAGAGCATTTTGCTTCTATCCTACAAATTTATTAAACAATGAAAAGTTCCTATATAAAAATTCTTACGTGAATTGTAATGATCACATCCTAAAATAACAGGAAGCAGTATGAAGTACACTTTGCCCATTATATCAGTAAACTGTTGAAATTTACAGAGGTAGAGACTGAAACTATCTGAACCAAGTTCATATTTAGATAAACAGTCACTCATCCACTCTATTCTGTAACATCTTTAGGGACTTTACTCTTTGAAATAGAAAATGAGTTGTCAACTTTCCTAGCCCTTATGAAATAAACACCAGACTCAGTTAATAGAAGCTCTAGTTACCAAGGCAATTCTACTCACTAGACTGAGTGAGGATGAAACTACACTGTGAAGAGCAAAGACAGCAGCCCTCTTTAGCTATTATTTGATGGCTGACTTGAAAGGTCAAAGTGTGAATGATGATTACAGAGGAAGAGAATGCCCACTGGCTCCTACTGGCTCCCACATCCTACCTTAACTCCCACCTGTGACTTACCAGGAACCTGATTCAAACAAATATGGACACCACTCCAAGTGGTGGCAAACTAAAAGTCACGTGTTACTTTGAGAGAAAGAAATGAAAAGAGTGATAAACTCCTCAAAGCAATGCCTCAAACATTGGAATCACCAAATAATACATTAAAAGTATTACTACAGTTTTTCTTCTATAGCAGGTACTGTTTTCAGTGGCCAGAGTAGTAATGTAGTCACTATGCTGTTAGAGACCACTGGTCCAAGGTTAAATGTGAACATGACGCTCATGGGGTTGAAAGAAAGGGAGGGGAGAGAGGATTCCCCAGAGACACAGTGGGAAGCAGAACGGGCAGACTGATGAAATACACTGTTGAGGGCAGCAGTGGGTGAGACAGGTGAGGTCTGCTGCACCATGTGGGTCATCTCCCTGATGAGGGATGGAACTCATGCTGAAGCAGCTGTGGATGGCTTCATAGTGCTGCGTCTTAACCCCTTGCTCCACTGGAGCGGTGCCTCCTGTATTTTACTTTAATTAAGTAGAAAAGTGATGGACTAACTTGGGTTCTCTCTGCTTTTTTTTTTTTTTTTTTAAAGATTTATTTATTTGTGCATACAGAGCTGGGGTACAGGCCAGAGGCTCAGGGGCGGTGAGAGGCTTCACCAGAGACAGAGTGGGGAACAGAACAGGCAGATAGACGAAGTACACTGCTGAGGGGAGCAGCGGGCGGGTCAGGAGAGGTCTGCCACACCATGTGGTCACCTCCGGGGCAGGCGGGAATCGAACTCATTCGGAAGCGGCTTTAGATTCTCAATGCTGTGCTTTAACCCGCTGCGCCACCAGGGAGGGCCCTCTCTCTGCTTTTTAAATCAGCTAACATCTATACAAAGTCTTTCTTGCTGCAGAACTAAAATTGTGACAGGACTTGCAGAAAAACACAAATATTCTCAATCTAGCACACTTTATACTTCCTGCTCTTCCATTTGGTAGGTGAAGCTCTTGAAGGTTGCTGACCAGTTCAGGATCTTGAGCAGAGCCTCAAGACTCTGAACAAAACACCAATGCTAAGCAGCACCCTGTAAGGATGCTCTCAGCCTCTTGATTATTCATTCATCCAACAAATATGAGAGCCAAATGCCAGATTCCATATAAGGTACTGATTACCAAACAAATAAAACACACAAAGTGCTGGCTGATGGTCTATGAGGACCATGTTGGGTCATATATAAAATGATAACAGCTACAGAGCACTATGTGTGATTTATATTGGAAGTTTTATCATATAACCCATTCATTACTATTTTAAAAGGTTGCATTTCAAAAATACACTTGTCTGAAATACACTGCTGGAAGGAGCAGCAGAGGTCAGGAGAGGTCTGCCATGCCATGTGGGTCACCTCCAGGGCTGGGGATCAAGCTCATTCTGCCATGGCTATGGGTAGCTTCATTCTGCTGCTCATTCTGTCTCTGGTGAGTCTTCTCACCTCCATGCCCCAGAGGTCTGGCTTGCACCCCAGTTCTTGTGTGCATAAATAAATAAACCTTAAAAAAATACACTTGTAAGACAATTGTGCCAATATCCTGATGGGATTACAATGTAGTTTTGTAAAACATTACCACTAGTATGTGTTAGTATGTGTTTGTAAAACATTACCACTAGAATGTGTTAGTATGTGAGCAAAGTACATGAGGGATTTCTTACAACTGCATGTAAATTAATAATTACCTCAATTAAAAAATACAATTTATTTTCCCATTTATAATGCTCTTGGTACTAAATACAAATCTAAATGTCTCAGGTCATCACTGTATTTAGTATGAATTACAGGATTAATTTCCTACTTAGTCGCCCAAGTTATTCATTTAATTACAAATCTGGTTGTGTTATCTCCTAGTTTAAAATCCTCCCATATTTTCCCAGGTATAAGCCCATACCGTTCCCATTATGTACAAAGCTTCTCAAGACACAGCTTGTCAAACATTAATGACTGTAGCTGATCTGTTCTCACTGCAAAGCCCTGAGCAGCTGTTTTCTCTTTCTGAATGCTCTTTCCACTATACACAGACCAATGACTACTGGTCCTTTATCTATGTGATTCTTGCCATCTCTTCCCAAGCACCTTCTACTGCCTTCCCATCCTCTGGCACAAATAGGGAGTCTCTTCCCTTTCTTTATGCTTTTCTGTCATTTTTCAGGAGTCAAATAGGGAACAAAAATCTCACCAGTTTCAGTGTCCCAAAAAGCAAACTATAGACCTTATTAACACTTTGTTTTCTCAATATCATTCATGATGCTGAGATTTGAAAGTGCTCTAATGTTCACCTCTGAATTTCTGTGATTCTATGAATCTTACCTTGAAGTAGCAAATAGTGAGCCATTTTTATGGCAAAACCAGTACGAAAAGGAATAATAATTTTATTTTATTGAAGAGTCACAAAGTTTAGTATATGACGCAACAATTACTGAAAAAGATAGGTTGGGGGTATCATGTGAACTGAGGAGATAGAACATTCTCTCCTGTGGTGTTAAAGAATCCCAGATCCACCTTACATTTACCAAAATAAGTCAATTTTTTTGGTTTGAAAACTATTCATAGTCTCTATCATCTTAATTCTTTCAAACTAATTAGAACTGAAAATGGAAAAACTTAAAACGAATCACTTCTGCAAAAGAAGAGAAATAATTTTCAGTACCTATTTCCAAGAATGTCCTTTCTTTAGGTATATTACTAGCATATTTTTTAAATAAATACACTCAAAACTGGACTGAACAAAAGAACTGAATGTAAAGGAGAGAACTTGTTAGAAAATGTAGCACCCCATCCCCACTATCTGCAAGAATGTTTCTCTAAAAACTATCATCATTTCTGGTTTCACTCACAGCAGAAGCATAAAGGACAAGGGGAAATAATAATAATGAACAACTATATACCAGAGACATCTTACGGAGGTTGAGTGGGAATGGGATCAAATGGGGGAAGAGGGGAGTGTACTAGACTATGGTGATGGCCCACCTGTGATGTAGTGATAGAAAACACACGGGGATTACAACTGAGATAGGAAAAGGCACAAAATGATGTAAAAATAAACTATTATATTAAAAAAAGTACATAAAAAAACTATCATCATTTCAGATTGTTTCACTCTCTGGTGTTCTATAACCAAAAAAGATTTGAAGATCAGGAATTGAAGTTGCCTGACTAAAGCAGAAAGACCATGAAGAACAACATTATAATTACTGAATAAAATTCCCTATAAACTTCATCTATTTTTAGCTTAATGAAAAATAGAAGAGAGTCTCATATACTTCTATTGTACTCATTTCCAAAACTGTATGAAAGAATTTATTTACAGAGAAACTTCTAAAAACTAAAATGATAAGAATTAAAAGTTAAAATGAAAACTCAAAAGATTTCATTTCCTCTTTTAAGACTCAAAATAACAATAGTCAAATATTTAAATAGTGCCAGGTACTATTCAAATTGCTTTACAAAGAAGTTGAGATGCAGGGAAATTAATTACATTCCTCAAATGTTTATTCAGCTACTAAGTGGCACAGACAGGATTCACATCAGCAATCAGACTGAAAAAAGCACATAGACAAATCAATTTTTTAGATGTTTTCATAATTGATAAAATTTACAGAAAATAAATCTGTTAATTTGAAGTTTATCTGAAGTATCAAATTCTTAATCTACAATCATAAAAATGTGTGGCACAGCATAGTATAAACAAATGTATATGCTCATATAAATTGTAACTGTGTAATGAACATGTCAGGAAAACTAAGTACCCTCATCAACTTTATAAGTCCCTTTTCTAGGAACAAACAAAGCAATATGCATGTGAAATTTTCTTAGCAAGTTATATTTAAAAGTTTTTTTTTACTATGATTTGCAAAGAAAATATTCAACTATATGGGGTTGCTATGAAATCAGTAATTTTTTTAGCCACCATTAGAGAATAATTGCTCTTCATGATGAAAGAAGTATGCATAGGACACAATTTTAAAGAAGAAGTTGGTTAAAATGTAACAAAGGATATTATAAATATATGACATAAAAAAATAAACATAGAAAATATATTAGCTACATATCAACAGGATAGTTTCCTTAACTTACCTGCCAGATAGAGGGCAAATGATATAAATCTATGGTAGCGAATGAGGAACTGAAGTTGCTCTTCTCTTTGAACAAATGTAGCAAAATAATCAGCCACAGTCTCTCCATAAAAAAAGTAATTAACACACAGTAGAAAGTACCTATAATTGAAAAACAATCATCCTTTTTATATTCAGACTTTCTTCTCAAATTAACAAAACCATTGTCTACATTTGATGATGACACAAAGCTCAAAACCAAGGTCAGAAATCCAGTTCAGAACATATCCCACCAAAACCCTATTTTCCTCTTTTAAACTTAGTTTCAAACTCATCAGTCAACAACAACAACAAAATTACTGCTTATAATTTATATCTTTAATTAACTCAAAAATCTACTGAAGACAGGAAACAATGTAGAAAATGCATATACAGCCCTACCCTCCTTCCCTCCCTCTGTCCTTCTCTCTCAAACACACATATCCACCCCCTGCCCCCACACACATACAGGTATTAAGTTTATACTGAACACCCACACTGACTCGCAGCTCTATTACTTTTTGAAAATTTTTTAATATAATAGTTTATTTTTACATCATTTTGTGCCCTTTTTCCATGTCAGTTCTAAATCCTATGGGCTTCCCATCACCAAATCACCCATGTGCCATCACCATAGTCCAGTGCATTTCCCTCCCCCCGCTGTTTTGATCCCATTCCCCAATCCACCTCCATAAAATGTCTCTGGTATCTAGCTGTTCATCATTATTATAATTATTTTCTCGCCTGGTCTCTTATACTCCTGCTATGAGTGAAACCATCTGGTATTTTTCCTTTCCTTTCTGGCTTATTTGACTAAGCATGATCCCTTCCAGCTCCATCCATGTTGCTGCAAAAGGCATGTGTTTGGCTTTTTGGTTGCTGAGTAATATTCCATTGTGTATATGTACCACATCTTTTTCATCCAGTCATCCACTTTTGGGCTTTTGGGTTGTTTCCATGTCTTTCCAATTGTAAATAAAGTAACAGCTCTATTACTTTTAAGAATAAAGCTCCAAGCCTGCTTGTCCTAAGGACAATCCAGAGAAGGAAGAAGTAATCAACCTCTTTCCCCACTGGCCACACTTGATAGCATCTTTCTCCCCTCAATGCTCCAGTTGAGCAGTGTTTCCTAAGAGGGAGTAGTGCAGGGAGGAAGCAGCAGCAGATAAAAATATCTGGGCGGCAATTTTTAAAACTGTTTAGATCACCTGTCCTTCCTCTGAATTCTGAGGAATTCACCTAGTGAGGGTGAACCCATAACAATTGCTGTTGGCAGCTTGTATGACCTAGGAAAAAAAGGACTGAGAAACACTGCCTTACAGTCCTTCTGGGCCTCAACCTGTGAGGCGGGTCCTAGGTAACCTGGAGAACAAAGAAGATGGAACTGGACAGAGAAGGCTCTGGCATCGTGGATGGAAAGACATCCTGCTATCCTCAAAGTGGAGGACACATATTCTGTATGTCCAGTTTTCTCTTTTCCTACAATGGAAATTGTTGTTGGTGCCTCGTAAGCCAGCCCACTCAACTCTGTGTCCACCTCCACCCCAAGAAGTGCCTTCTGCCAGGAGGACCACATCCCGAGACACACCTGGTCTGGGCCACATCTACATGGTGCAGCTTCTCTGACTCAAAATACCCTTCTCCAGTCATCTGGGCTTCGCTTTTCAAGAGTCAGCTTATTGCTCACACCCCCTCCAGGGCACCTCCATCCCTGGGGCACACACTGCCTAGTCTTTCTCTTTTGCATCTACAACCAACCCTGTGAGGCTTAGCTTTTAGTTATTCTCTAACTACTTTATCTACTTAGCATGTCCCATGTACATCGCCACTCCAGAAGAAATTTGTTAGAATGAAAAATTAGCTTTTATCGAAATCAAGGAACTTTATTATTTTAGACTCCCAATATACTTTGTCTTAATAAAATACTAAAACCAACTAGCTGATATTAAGTGAGCAACTGTATTAAAAACACATGACTAGCTAGAATAATTATGAAACATACTATTATCCTGTTTCCTGATCCATGTCTTGAGAATGAAGAATTATACCTGAACAATTACAGTAGAAGAGATATAAAACTCTAAATATTAAAATTATCCAGCATTTTTCCCCTGCATTTGTACATACATAATAGGTCATTAAACAATGTTGTTTAATTATAACATTGAGAAGAAAATATCAATTCCCAAGCATAGTCACTAGTGATTTGTATTGTCTTAAGTGCATTTTCTCCAGGGATATAGGGTTTCTTTCCATATCCCAAAGATGTGCATGTGTGGGTCACTATTGTGTCCACACTAATTCAGTCTGATATGCAAGCGTGTGTATGCTAGCTAGAGGGAATTTTACTCAGGGTTGATTTCTGCCTGTACCCAGAGCTGCACAGACTTACCCACATAGACTTAGTCCAGCCAAGACCCTGAACTGGAATAAGTTGGTTGGAAAATAAAAGAATAAATTCAAGCAAGTAATAATATTCTAAGTGTTATGGATCTTTATTTATTAGATTGGTGATGTTCCTGTGAGCAGATATGCAATAGAATTAGACATTTACATCAATTTGTCTTACTGGTCTTTCTATTGATTGTTTTGCTTAAGTTGCAATTTCCAAGAATCTGTTGATGATGATATTTGAGGACTTACTGTGCATTATTTCATGGGCTTTTAAATGCTGGTGCTATCTATTTTACAAAGGTGTCTTACAATCTACTCCCAGCCCACTTCTGTTGCTCCCCAGAGTCACTTTCCTCTAACTCCCTCCTGTACTTTACAGAACACAAGACCTGAACAGGAGGTAAAAAACAGAACAGCAAAGGAGGGAGCATTCCTCCTCTCACTGCTCCCCAACCCCTCAGGGCCTGTGAAGGCTTAGGGGAAGCTGAGCCAACTTCTAAGGGTTGAGGGGGGAGAAACAGTCAGTTTGAGATTTCACCTCATGTGATTACTCAGGAAAAAAAACTATTTTCATATTTCATCTTTTAGTCTTTGAAGAGATATCTAGTGTTGAGTGTGGTATCACAACAACTGAAACGAACTAACAGATCACACATAGTTTTTATATTTTACATATTTAAACTTAAAATTGTCTTTACAAAGGATATAAAATGTGGCTAATATAATGCTGAATTCTTTTGAAAAGGAAATGAATGCTACATATAATAAATTTTAAATAGTTAAATGTGATTTTCTTCTTTCTAAAATGCTGTTACACTCTTTTTCTCTTTCCCCATTCTCTCAACCTTTAAGGTCAACAATGTGGATCATGACTCATTAAGATGTTTCCTTTACATACTTTAGCAAAGAATTAGATTTTCATACCAGAAACAGTTTTAAGCTACTTACCAGCTCAGTGTTCTAAACCAGGGTAGGTCATAAGAACGATATACTCTATAACCAATAGTGATAATTTCATGGAAGCATTTCACTTGGATGCCTAGAACCTGAAACCAAGAGAAAACATTAACATGCATTTCTCAATGATTGCATCTGTGTTTATTTAATAAAGTAACACTGTCATATGTATTCAAAACTATTTAGTCTGTCCATTTCTAATTATCTAAATGTCAATAGCAAAATTCAATGGTCAATATCTAGAAAATCAAAGGACAAGTAAAGTAATATTTTATTCAAAAAGTTTGGATAGGGCCTCCCTGGTGGCACAGGGATTAAAGTCTCAGTGCTATCAAGCTATTGCCAGGCACAATGACACGAGTTCAATCCCGGGCCATGGAAGAGACGTGCATGGCTCAGCAGACCTCTCCTGTCTTACCTGCTGCTCCCCTCAGCAGTATATTTTAGTAGATCTGCCTGTTCTGCTTCCTGCTCTGTTTCTTGTAAATCCTCTCACTTCCCACACCCCTGAACTAGACCCCAGTTCATGTATGCAAAAATAAAAACAGAACAAAATGTTTGGGCTTTGGGGGTTCTTCTCTTGGGTTCTTTCAACTACAGTATTGTAGTGGAAAGTTTGAGATATACAATATAGTTGATGATAGCTAACTAGATTTTACCTCTTGTTACTTCTTTATTTCTTGAGATTTTTATCTATTTTGTTTCTTGAGATACCCTAGGAAAAGGGTCATATGTGAAAATATGCTTGTATTTATTTGTTTTTAATTATATGTTTCTGGTACACTTAAAAGGGATAAAGAAACTATGGGACAAATGGCTGCGATTTGTCATCTTTATCCAGTGATCCATAAGTTTGGGCATAATCTTCATTTTGTTAGCAGTGGTCAACTCTCCCATAGCAAGCAACATTCATCCCTGATCACCTCAAATAATGCTACCTTGGAAAATAAAAAGCAGCCTTCTCCAAATTCCCTCACTTTGACTAGTCAATTGAGAGAACGCAGTATCTTTTGCACAATGTCCTGCACATGCCTAAGGAAATGTGTTTGCATTTATGAATTTCTTTCTGATGGTTTTCATTTAGTGATCCTCAAGCTGCTCTATCCACCAATCTGAATAAAGTTAATTACTTAAGATGTAACATTACTACTAGAGCTTACTTTATGTCAATTCCAAGACTCAAAGAGCAAATGGCAAGCTGAACACATATTTCCATGAATTTAGAGATTAAAATCTTTGCAAGCATAGGCTAATTTTCTCAATCTCGAGAGAGTATATTCAAAGGCTCATTTTTGTACAGCCCTAAAGCTATGAAAGCATTCTATATTTTTAAAGAGTTAAACACACAAGAAAGTAAAGATTATATGACAGAGACATATGTGGTTTCTTCATGCTTCAATTATTACCATCTGGTCCTTTACAGCAAAAGCTTTCAACCTCTATGAAGAAACTAGGTTGGAGTTTCTTTTTAAGATTTCCACAAATTAGCTTCCCCAAAACTGTTTTCCCAAACAGTTATCACAAAGAAATTGATGCTCCACTTCATGGATACCAGTAGTAATGCATAATGATAAAACTGTTGGCCTAATTCATGTGCTAAGTGCCGGCTCTGTGCTGGCAACCGAAGATTCAAAGAAACGGCACAGGGTATCTGTTCCAGGAGAGTCTAGTTGGTCAGGGCGCCACACACCTCTGCACTACCATAGAAGGAGCCAGCAGGATGAAAGCACAGGCAGACAACTTGTGGCAGGAGGTGGGGCATGGAGGGTAATCGATGTAGGAGTGTTTGTGGCACCACAAGTCGTTCAGTTTCTAAAACACAAAGGTGTGGGTGAGAAATGGAGAGAAAAAAAGCATTGTCATCGAATCACAGGAAATAAGTCGAGGGCGTGCATACGAGTTAAGCTCATCATGAAGGGACATGACCAAAGGTTGAATGTTTGGGGAGGAGGACCATGGGAAGAACTGTCCTGGCAACAAGTGGAGGTACAGGGAGGCAGGTGCGGCACCACCATCCAGGGGCATCTGGATGAAGCATCTCTCCAGAAGAGCAACGGACGGGGGAGTGCAAGATCTGAGAGACACTGCAGTAGAACTGACTGGAGTTACTGGACACATAAGAGAAAGTGTGTGCCACAGAGTAACGCCAGAGAAGGCTCAGGAAAAAGACATGTTTATGAAGGACGGCTTGGAATGGAATAGAAGTTGAAGATGGATATGTTGTTTTGAGCTGTTGGAACCTAGGGGTTAGCCAAACTAAAGAGCTGATTTTTACTTTGGGAATTACCTCAAGAGAATAATCCTGCATATGAAAAAGCATTTACTTTCTAATCTATGCTATTTCCAATGAAAAAAAAAACAGAAAATGATCTGAATATAACTTATGACCAACTCCATTCCACTGAATAGATGAATGTTTAAAGCTTGGTTGTAAAGATCACGGAGCAACACAAAACACTGATATGATAATGAGTTTAAAGTGTAGGATGTAAAATTTTAGTCATATTATGATTACAATTATGTTCTTTAAAATAAAGTAAAGAGAAAGAAATTGGATTTTGGTGGCTGATGACACAACTGGATTGATTTTGTAAAAATTATCTACTTTCCAAAGTAATCTTAGTACATTTTATAAACCTCACAATGAGAAAAAGTTAAACACAGTATTCAAAAATCAATTATACAATGTTATGCAATGTGAACTAAAACTTAACATGAATTTCTTCCAAGAAGATGGGGGGGGAGGTGTTCTTACAGTTATCTTTTAAATGTTCCTATCTACCTTCTTTATTAATTCAAATACCGACTGCTTCACTAATTTGCATACTTCTCGCTGAGGGGCCATGCTAGCCCTCTCGGTGCTGTTCCAGTTTTAGTGTATGTGCTGCTGAAGCCAGCCCCACATTTGCCTTTAAATCAAAACATGTGTTAGTGACTCCACGACTTAGAAGTGTGACTCCAAGCTGTGAATACAACAATTAAAGTACTATAAATAGAAGGCTGGTGTGGGGGTTGGGGAGCCTGGAACATGAATATGAGCTCCAATTTAAAAATTATAGCTATCATTTCCTAGAAGGAGGTTTTTTTTTTTTAAAGATTGATTTATTTATTTATACAGAACTTGGGTACAGGCCAGAGGTGCAGAGGGTGAGAGCAGGCAGATCGACGAAGTACACTGCTGAGGGGAGCAGCGGGTGGGTCAGGAGAGGTCTGCTGCACCATGTGGATCTCCACCGGGGCAGGCGGGGATCGAACTCATGCAGAAGTGGCTTAAGCTTCTTTGTACTGTGCTTTAACCCGCTGCGCCACCAGGAAGGGCCTGGAAGGAGGTTTTTAATAAAACCCTCTGGAGTTAGCTATTTGTGAGTGTTGATATCATAATGCAATCTTGGTAGTAATGTGTACTTCTCAAGCTATAAATGACTGAGTTAGGGATATAAACAAAATGAGAGTTGTTTGTGTATGTGTGTGTGCAGAAGCACTGAGGCATAGACCAGAGTTATGGGGGACAAGAGGATTCACCAGAGACAGAGTAGGAGCAGACAGGCAGATCTACTGAAATACACTGCAGAAGGGAGCAGCGAGCATGACAGGAGTGGTCTGTTGCACCATATGTGAGTCAGCTCCCTGGCTGTGGATCAAACTCAAGCCATAGCAGTGATAGCACCAACACTTAGCCCCTGATTCACCAGGGAAGCCCCATACTGAGACTTTAAAGCACCCAAACTACTATCATTTCAGTAGCAACATTGTGCTGTTCTTTATTCATGTCCCCTAGACCTAAGTCATATAAATGTAACAGACACACATATGCATATGGACACATGTGTATGTGCATATGCAGTAAACTAAAAGCAGTAACAGTTTAAATCTATTTAACTAGATCTTTAATATTTTTACTTTATTCTCTACTAAACTCACCAATCTAAGCACAAAGCTAACATAAAATGATATTTTTCTTTTATAGTAAAAAAAATGAGAAAAAAAGTCTCAAGTACCTTACGTGCATTTGTGATTTGCATTTTTAAAAAATCAGAAAGCAAATAGGCAAGAATGCCTTTACAAGTGTTCAGAACTTTGTCAAGCTGGAGTGTTCAAAAAAAAGCCTTTCTTCATCAATTCTGGAACTAGTTACCATCCTAAGTAGTTTGGTTTGGAAGACAATGTAACTGATTCACAGCAGAGTCTACCAAACCAGTTTGAGTGAGTATACCTAAGATACTGCTGCTTTTCAATGCCTTCAATGAAAGTTATCTTCTAAAGAATAATAATTCGGGGGATCATCAATATTTCCAAGCTTTACAAATAAATCCCAAACTTTTTCACATAGTATTTTAAAGCTCATCCAGAATGTGATCTTTAGTTTCTAAAGTCCTATGATCCAGGAGCATCCAGGACATCACTTGCCTTTTCCTGACACATCTTAGCCATTTTGACCTTTGCTCACAGAGCTCAGGCTATGCTGAGAGATTCTCAAGGTCAGTTCAAAGATCCTGTCATCAGCAAAGCCTTCCTGAGCAGCCTGCAGCAGGCGACCCTTCTGCCTCAGGCTGCTCACTCATCCCACTGCACTGGGAAGCACTCTGCACACAGTCATCTTAAATGTCCACATGACAGGAGGCCGAGGACCCACAGGCCCACAAGGCCCACAAGAGTCTCAGAATGACAACACTGCCAGCTGGGCTGCTTCGCTCCAGCCCCGCTTGGCAGCACTCACACCGGCACACCTGGCTTTCAGAACAGCAGTTCTGCCTCACCTGAAGTCAGTCTAATCCCTTAGCCATTTTCCCTTTGTATGACAACACTCTTTACGATGTTGGCAAATTAACAGAACAAAGGTCATAATTTCTAATTCATTTTCATTATCTTGATATCCCCCAAGGATGTACAAAATTAATGAGGATGGAAAGTGAAAATACTTTGGGGGCTTATCAGAGCTGCTTTCAGTGTTATTTGCTAAGCGTTTTTAAGTGTTATTTTCTTTTCAATTGTGTCTAATTTCATTCCAAATCTTATTTTTCTATAAAATCAAATGAAAACTGTATCACAGAGTCCATAAGCTTATCCCTGTGACTAAGACTGAGCATGAAGGTGGAAGGGGAGACAGATGAGCTAGGCAAACAGACTTCTAAGTGGGCAGGAGTGGCCAGATAACGGAGGGATGAGTACAGAAGGCACCACATTGCCTGAGATGGGTTAAAGAAAAACAGCAATAACAAAGAGGGATGCTACTATCTGTATGCCTGCGAGCAGAGCACTGCTCAGCCCCTAGTGTTGATGACTGCTGAACAAGTGCACTTCACTTCACATTCCCACCACCTGGATTTTAAATGTTTTGCTCCTGTAGATAGCAGGATTTTATCCTCAGATATCCTCTGCTGTGACACTCCGTTCCCCCAGCATCTCACTTCAACTGGCTGACTCCAACACAGCCTTCAGGCCCAGAGTATATTCTGGACACCGGATCCCTGGAGCCTCCTGACTCCCATTTGGTCCCACAGTCTCCACTGCTTTCAAATGCTACTGCAGTTTGTCATTATATACTAATAGAGGCCCTCAGGTATAGACAGTAAGCTTCAAGAGGGTAGAGACAGGTGTGATTTCTCAGCACCAGTGTATCACTTCCCTGAACTGGCGTGTTGAAGCTAACTGAAAGCACTTGCTGGATAAATTAACTAGAAGCATAAAAGACTTGTCTGGCTTCATGATGTAGGCTTCCCATAAACAACAAAATCCCCTACTATGACAATGGTTTCTACATGCTTCTCTCTTGTCATCCCTAAAACACCTTCTACACATACAACTCAAAAACCTGCAAAGGAACTACATTCTGTCGTCACCTCCATGCCTTCTCCATTCCAGTCCCTTCTTCAGGACTCAGTTTTGCCTTTATGGCAGTGTTCCTTTATGTCAAGCTCAGACTGGGCTATGTGCTTTTTTATTGAGCTCTCTCAACAAGGGATTTATCACATTATTACCAATTACTTATTATGGTTATTTATATGTCTCTGCCATTAGATGGAGTTCCTTAAAGTTAGGGATCTAGCTATATTATATATGTTGAAGTGTGTGTGTGTGTGTTTCTGTCACGTAAAATGTTTGGCAAAATGTCTGACAAAAGATAAACACCTATTGTGTGTATTTGGTCTCTGTTGATTGAATACATTAAATGGCCATTCTGCAAGTGGAAAGGATTAATAATCAAGAAGATGCTTAAAAGAACTAAATTTGCTGTTACCAAGCTTCAAATTACCTTCTTTTTTACAACATGCTCAAATTACTTGAATCATATCAGTACTGAAAAATAAAGGAAGCGATGTTTATATAAGTGTAAAGCACTTACAAGAAGCATCAGCATAAATGATCCCATATAGATGATCAGGAAAAACAAGGAAATCATAGTTAAAGTAAGAATTCCACGAATCCACCAGTTTTTCCACCTACAAAGAAAATGTTTGTACAGTTAGCATTTAATGTGTTCATAGTTTTTTGTGGTTTCAGTATTGAGTTGACCTACTTACAAAACTGTTCTAACCATACACTAGGAATCTAAATTTTACTTTATGTAATAATCCCAACACCAAAAAAAAAAAAAATCACCAACAACCAAACAAGCAACATTCATTCACTACTGAGAGCTAAAATTCAGTCTAAAAAGTATGTTAAAGAAATAAAGGTAACTTCTGTTCAGTGCGAATAGGGTGAGACATAGGCAAGGTGGTCATGGTGGGTCTGAGCAGATCCCACCAGTGCTCACCAGGAGGGAGAGGAAAAGTGCAAAAGTCCTAGAAAAATGATCAGTTCTGTAGGGTGGTATATAAAAATAGTAGTGACATTAATGTGATACAGAAAGCGAGCGTGGCCTTTCAATGAGGAAAAAGTAACGAAAGGATAATGCAGACCTGAAACTGGAGAGCCCTGGGACCTCAGTGAACAGGAGGCACTCGCGAAAGGGAGGCTGGAGGAGGCGGGGGTGTGCACTCCAGCACTCCCTCTATGGCTCAGGGTGCTGCCTGCTGTCCTTGATAGGGACAGGCACTGTGGAGCAGAGCTTCCCTGCTGGCATGCCTGGCTGTTGGGCTGAGGACTCCTCTCCTGCAATCTCCCAGGAGCCTTGCACTGCACCCTCTCACAGAATACCTCATAAATGTTCTCACTCCTCATGAGGCAATGTCATGAAAAATGTTGGCAACCACCTTGAAAGCCCAAATGACTCTTATAATTACCTACACATGGATGATGGCTTCTGAATCTAAAACTGCTGCCCCTAGTTTTATTCATTCTATACCATACTCACAGTAAAATTCTTTAAGAATTCTGATTTCCATTAACTTAAATAATAGCATTTACATTATAAGAGATTTTAATTTGATATAACATACAGTAACATAGGCACTGTATTCTGAACACAGATCTCATTCTTTCCTATAAAAATACTAGTTGACTTCATCCACTTATCAAAAGTGCTTGTATATGCTGCTTTCAACCACTCCTGGTTTGTTGTATATACTAACAAATTACTTGCTCTCAAATATCCCTTTTATCAAGTCATTCCTGCATTCAAAGCTAAATGCCAACAATATTAAGTCAACGATTCTGAGGTTATTCATGAAGCAGTCAATTTTTGCTTTCCCTCTACGGTTTAAACAACTATGTAGACTCATAACTTTCTCACAAGTCTGTACACTTTGGGTTGAACTGAAATGGGTATAGTGTGAAAAATTCTATAGCTTAAAAGGTTCCATTTATTTTTATTTTTAAAGAAATGTTAATCTTAATCATTATTTGTAATGTGGAAGTATAGGACCCACACACCCGACCACAACCACCACTTTCTGGTGATGTTACTCACCATAGCTCTCCCACCACCAAAGCACCCACCACTATAGTCCATTGTGCTCCCCCATTTTGTGCTCACCCCTCCTTTTCCTCTCCCATCGGAATGCCTCAGTTCTACAGTCAGCTTTCTAGGACTTGTTTTTGAGGTTGGCTTTATGTGGTCCTTTGTCTGGTTTCTCTACATTTACATATGGCAGTATAGCTCTAACTCTTTGCAGATGAATAAATAGATTAGGAAACTGAGTTAAGTCACAGAGCTAGTCAAAACGGGAATGAAGAAACATAACCTGATAATAATCCTGCTCTGTGAAACTCAGAAGCATATTTATTCCTGCTTTGGAACTTATCCTCAATTTCAAAATTATCAAGAACCTCTTCTAGAAGAGGACACTATATATGTCAGAAATGAGTGCCTAGGTGGGTGATGCCAACGTCAATGTCTATACCTGATCTTGGAGCCTGGCTTGAACTACAGAAAATGGCAGCTGCTGAGACCCTGAGGTTTTAAACAGGAAACCTACTGTCTTTGTATTATCTAATAATTCCAAGGTAATTGAAAATCTGAGCCCTCAAGGAACATATTCTAATTATCTTTATTAGATTTTGAATCAAATATCTTTATTAGATTAGATACTTTACTTATTGGTGTTTATAGAGAAGCTTCTTAAAAAGACAAGCTGGTCATATATTACATATGGTTCTTTTTTTTTTTTTTTTACGAAACCTAATTCATTCATAAACAGAGTATAATTTGTGGTTCAGGATATGGTTCTACTAGCTACGTGATACATTTCTGTGCTTAGTATATAACAGATATGTAACTGTACATATGTTGCAGGGTTGCTGTGAAAATTAAATTAGTGGGTACATGTAAAGTGCATGAACCAGTGCCTTGCATAGAATATACTCAATAAATATCAGTTACTATTACATCTTGCTAGTTCATATCAGAAGAAAAATTAATCATTAAGGGAAATCTCATGAATGACACACATTATCATTCTTATTTAATATCATTATTAAAGAACTTAGGGGTTTGAGATAGATCTTATGAGATTTTAAATTAAAAGTATAAGTGTGATCTAGGTCATGAAAGCAACCAGGAATAAGAACAGTTAGAGCAATAATCATGCTTGTAATAATGGACAGCAAGTTTGTTCTATGACTAAAAATAAGAAAACTTCTGTTTTAAAGTTATTGCCTAGAAATTAAAAAAACGAGATATCCCCTCCCCCCACTTTACATTTCCAAAGTAAGACTAAACCAGTGGTATTAAAATCAGTTTAGTAAGTCACAACCAGCATTCAATAATATAAAACAGTAACAAGTATCCCAAAGTAAAAGCAGGGGATAATACATAATTCCAAGAACTGGTTTGTTTGTTTTTTTGCCTAACCTTTTTTTGCAGTAGTTAAAATGTGATGTGATTTGGATGTGATGTAAAATATACATTATAGTAAAAAACTGGGATAAACAGCATTTCTATACCAGTATTTAAAATTTCATTTTTTAATCTGTATAAAATCTTACATTATTTTGCTTTTAAAAATTGTGTAGTTTAGATTCTTAAAGCATATTATTAAAGGCAATGTGACATTACTTAAAATTTGGCACAAATATAAAAGAGCAAATGGCTGTGGAGCTTTGATTAGTAATTTTAAATTCAGTTAAAATTAAAAGTTACCTATGTCTGTCTGGCAATTGAAAAAGAGGGAACAAAAGATATGAATCTTCTTAGATGTTCCAATAGCAATACTTCAAAAAATTAAAATTAATTACATATACCAGTATAACCTAATAGCTTATCTTGTGCACCCATTACATTTTCCTCATGTATTCATACCTTGAAGATAAACCAGATAAAGCTTTCTTGAGGATCTCAGGGGTTCTGTCTGAGGATGGTGGAATTTCTGGAATATCAGAATCTGTTCTGGAATCCAAATCTCCATATCTGTCATCAATATCTGTTTCCTAAAAGTAAAGAAAAAGGAAAATCATTGCCTAATGGGAGAGGCGAGCACATGGTTGCCAATACATTTATTTATTGCTGTGTGTCAATTGCTTAGTTACAGAACTTGAAACAGAAACAGACAAAAAAAAGTTAACTTACCTTGAATATCTAAGCACTGCTGCACTTCCTTGTTAGAAAAGTATGATCATCTTTGCTAAAATCTATCAATATAAAGGATGATTTTAAATAAAGGATTAAAGAGACACTTCCATACTATCTAAATCAGAAGTTTACAATATGAAGTTTTACTATTCAACTCCTGAACTAGAAGAATAAAGTATTAATTCTGTGCGAGCCTGATCAGCTGTGCAGTTCCTTTTCAAATCTGAATACAATCAAAGCATGAACAAGAGTAAAATAGCAAATGGGCATAACATTACATACATGTACATATACACATATAACCGTATATATTAATACATGTATATTGTATTAACATATAAATCTGCAATATATACACTACGCATAATATATATACTTATATAAATTTAAACTTAGTTACATCATTTTTTATTAGAACCTCAAGAGACAGTCCCAACATACAAAAACCAAACAAAACATCAGACAAAGGCAAACTTTAGAACCAACCCTTGAAAGCTGATCATTTATCTGTGACTTGCAGCAGAGAAGGGGTGAAAATGTCAGGGGACAAGCTGGGGGGAGCACTACAGTGACTACATCTGAGGGAGAAATCCTGTACTATCAAAATACTAGCAAGCATGTAAAACAATGTTACTTCAATAACAAAATAAAGTTATATTCTGTATAGTAAATTAGTCATCTAATGAGTTACCTGAGTTCATCAAATTTAAGTAGAGAAAACAGGAACTTCATTTATATAATCAGGTGGTCAGAAATACAGATAATGAGGTGGGGGGGGTTGACAGTGGGAGGACTGTGATTGGAGTCCAAAGTGGAAGGCGAGCTTGGGAGACTGAGCATTTAACCCTGTAGAATCTAATGGTAACTCTGGGCAGATCATGTTAGAATTGAGTATGAATTTAAATTTTATAACACCCAGCTGGTGTATTGAAAATTGTATATGTGGCCCTTGCTGGTGGCGCATCAGGTTGGAGCGCTGCACTGTTAAGCTAAGCCAAGCCTCAGCTGCTTCAGTGCGAGTTTGATCCTAGCTCTGGATTAACTCACACTGAAGCAGCTGAGGCTTGGCTTAGCTTAACAGTGACCTACATGGTATGGCAGATGTCTCTTGTCTCACCAGCTGCTTCCCTCAGCAGTGTACTTTGCCAGTCTGCTCATTCTACTCCACACTGTTTCTGGTGAATCCTCTTGTACCCCAGTTCTATATGCATAAATACAAAAAAAAATCTTTTAAAAAAAAAAAGGAAATTGTGTATGTGTATGGAGGAGACTATGCCTCCCCCTCAGGTATACAAGATTATTTGATATTTATATACACTGTTAAGTAATGACCACAATAGGTCTCATAGTCCTCCATCAACATACATAATTGGAAATATTTTTGTGTATGTCTGATGAACCCTTTTAAGATTTACTGCTAGCAAGTTGCAGAGTATTACTAACAATAGTTATTTTTATCCTTTGTTTTGCTAATATGCTGTATCACTTTTATTGATTTGTAAATGTTGAGCCATTCTTGTGTCCCTTAAATAAATCCCATGTGAGCATGGTTTATGATCCTCTTACTGTAAATTGAACTTGGCTTGCTAATATTTTGTTGAGGGTTTTTGCATCTATGTCCATGAGGAATAGGGGCCTGTAATTTTCTTTACTGAGTGCCCTTGTCTGGTTTTGGTATCAGAGTAATGGTGAACTCGTAAGATGAGTTAGGAAGAATTTCCTTTTCTTCTGCTTTTTGAAGCATTTGAAAAGGATTGGTATTAATTTTTCTTTGCATGTTTTCTATAATTCACTGGTGATGTCTGGTCTTTTGTTCTTGGTCTTTCGTTGTTTGGAAGACTTTTTATTACTGACTCCATCTCCTTACCAGTCATCAGTCTATTCATACTTTCCAATTTTTCATGACTGAATCTTTGAAGGTTGTATGTTTTCAGGTATTTACCTATTTTTATAGGTTGCTCAATTTGTTGAATATAATTTTCCACAGTGGTTACATGAAATCTTCTCTAGTTCTCTTGTGTCAGTTGTAACACCACTTTCATTCCTGATTTACTTATTTGAGTGTTCTCTTTTTCTTGGTTAATATAGCTAAGCCAGTTCTTTTATCTTTTCAAAGAATTTGCTTTTAGTTAGCTTCATCAATCTTTTCTATTTTCTTCAGTCTCTTGCATTTATTTCTACTGCGATTATTATCATTTCCTTCCATCTACTAATTTGGGGTTTCATATTTTTAAAATTCTTTTGGTTCCTTGAGATATAAAGCCAGATTGAGGTTTTTCACAATTCCTGATGTAGCCTGTATTGTTATGAACAACCCTCTTAAAACTGCTTTCACACTATCCCATATGTTTTGCTATGTCATTTTTCCATCTTTGCTTGAATGACTTTTAAACATTTCTCCTTTGATTATTTCATTGACCCATTGCTATTTCAGTAGTTATTATTTAATTGTCAAGTATTTCTACAGTTTTATTCTTGTAACTCATTGACATAATGAAGATGTTCATTATGATTTCATTCTTAAATTTATTAAACTTGTTTTTATGCTAACATACTATTTCTGCTAAAGAATGCCCCATGTGCACTTGAGAAGACTGTGTATTCTGCTTCTGAATGGAATGTTCTGTATATACCTATAAAGTTCATCTAGTAATATGTCATTTAATGCTGATGTTGCCTTATTGGTTTTCTGTCTGCATGGTCTATTTATTGATTAAGTAGGGTATTACAATTCCCTATTAATATTGAATTGCTGTCTATCTTTAAGTCTCTGTTTAATATTTGCTTGATATAGTTAGGTGCATCTATATAGAGTGCATAAATATTTATAACCACTATGCCTTCCTGTAGGATTGATTACTTTATCATTATGTAATACCACTGTCTTTATTACAATCTTTGTTTTAAAGTTTATTTTGTCTGTTGCAGTACAGTTTCCAACTCTCTTTTGATTTCCATTTAACACAGGCCACCTATTTCTTTCTATGTCTTCCTTACATCTGCAATGAATCACTTTTAGACAGCACACATATTTTTTTATTAATTCAGTTACACTGTTTTTAATTAGATAACACTGTCCATTTACATTTAAAGTAGTCATTTACAGGTATGAATCTGCTATTTGTTCATTGTGTGTTGGCTGTTCCTCATAAATGACTTCTAAGAGTGCATATATGTGAGCTGTATGTATACTGAGTCTTTAGACAAAAGTGGTCAATTTAAACTTACAGAGAGAGTATACAGACAAAGAATTTTAAGAACAGAGCTGCCTGCTCAGTTTTGCTGCTGCACCTTGAGGTGAGTTGTAATGGTTTTCATTTCTATGTGCTCCCTTCCTCTCCACAACCCTTCCAGCAACCTTCAAATAAAGAGTGATACAGAGGTGTAAGTTGGAAGCAAGGGTACTGGCTGAGCAGGGGCACAGGGAAGATGACATTCACAGGAAACAAAGAAATACACACACAAACCAGATGGAGCATATACTACAACACAGGGCCAGAAGTGATCGTGGGAGTAAAGTATCTAGGAATTATAATATTTAGGAATCTCAATTCAAACTTAGCCCTTACTAGCAACAACGTTTTGGTAAATGAAGCATTTAATATAAGGCTAATATTGCCATTGAATTAAGTCTTTTGGTTCCTCATTAAGTGACTTATCAAATACAGTCTTAGCCTTAAGGGAATATTTCAGTTTTCATAACACAATAAACCATTGTTTACTAACTATAACTTTCTTATTCAACAACTGTGAAGTTCAATGTATCATTGTACCAAAGCAGACAAATGAAACAGGCCTGTTGGGTTCTCACTGATACTAGTCAGCTAGCCACAAAGCAGAGTAAGCATACAAAGATGCTCACTAATAATCCAACACCCAGAATCCCAAGATAGCCCCTGAAAATGTCAAAATACCTGCTGTCAGTTTGACATGCCAGAAGGTCTTTGACATCTAGAATACAGCACGTAACTGTTTTCATTTCCTGACACTTTTTTTCCCCCCTCATTTTGGGCACAGAGTGCGTGGTATAGAGATAATTAATAGAGGTGAATAATGGAAGGGAATCTAGAAGGCAACACCACCATGCCTCATGTCCAAGAAATAGCTTTACTAGACTCAGAATCAGGAATTGCCAGTATAAGATCCACCTCTACAAGGGTAAAGCACTTGTCCTACAAGAAACGCTACCTTCAGTTTCCTCATTTATAAAATAAAGCACTGGAGAAATCAAATGGTATTCCTCCAACACCAAGGATCTTGACAAGTCACTTCAAAGTCTAATTGGCAATAATGATGTTACAACTTTTCCCTTCCTCTGTACAAACTTCCCTTTCTCAAGAAAGCTGTCCAGCTTTTAGTTTTACTTAGTTCCTGATTCATATATCTTAGTGAAACACATATAAATAACATGATTTAACTAGGTCTCTTCAATGCCATTTCAATAACTAAGAACTATAATTCTTAAACAGTGGCATTTTAGAACAATCCTACTTCAACTACTGAAATTTGTAGCAGGGACCCTTGTTATTCTATGTTTCATGTATGGGTCATCTGTTACAACAATGCCAGTCTTGACAAGAAAAGCAAGAGTGTAACTGGAGAGCATAGGAAAGAAGAAAGTTGTATTTCAAAGATCAACTAGAGCAATGAGGCATTGTAGATGTTGGATGAAGATATTTTAAGTATTTAAGGAAACCAAATTATAAACTTCTGAATCCCATAATTTAAAGACCATGATCCTCTACTTTGTACCTTAGTGACATGTTTTCCCATGACCCACCATGAAATCTTATGTACCTTCATGGTTTCTTTCTTTAACTCTCTCAAACATTGATGATTCCCATACAGCTGCAGCTCT